TTTTTTTTTTTTTTTTTTTTTTTTTTTTTTTTTTTTTTTTTTTTTTTTTATCTTTTTCCTTCTATCTCACACATTAACGACTATTTTGAACTTCCAAGCCTCAAAGCACCTTATGAAACGAGAGAGTTAAAACTGTACATTTTAAAAGAGTCGTAGAAAGGCATTCCATCCACAAGGATCATCAGCACCAATGTCCCATTGAGAGCTCCACACAGCATAAGATGACCAAGAATGGAGCTCTCAAGGGGGCACCACCAATGGTGGATGATCCACTTTTGTTGCTTTCCTAAGTATTCTTTTCTTGACGATTTAAAAAGAAACTCAAACCCAAAACCTATTGTTCCAAGAAGGCCTTGAAAGAAATCCTCCGTGCTCGCTCCTACTTCCCGAAAATCTGTAGAATGCTGGCTTGCTTCGTGTGGTTTGTAACGGACCTGACCTGTTTCCGTGCCGAATAGGCAAAGATATCTCGTCGCCAACGAAACTTGAAGTTGAAAACGGTCGGTTTTCCATCTCTTCAAGGGGGCCAGAGCTGTATTCCATGGTGATGAAGGAAGAGGCTTGACCGAAAGTCAGTCGTGGTGTAAGGCCACCAGCATTCCACCAACTGCTGTCTGATGGAACAATGTCGCCTTTGAAATCGGAGTCCCGAGCAGATGACTCCTTTTGACTGCAGTAGTCTGCACACGTCTCGTCTGTATCGTTGTATATCAGCTTTAGAGCCTGCACAACTTCCCCCATAAATGGCCTTTGGGTCACTTCTGGATGAACGCACATAGAAGCAATGGCAGCCACCTTGGCCATGTCGTCGAAGTCGTAACTACCAGCTAGAGAAGGATCTACTAGTTGCTCCAAACCTTCTCTACTGGTCAATAGAGGTCGAGCCCATGTTACGAGGTTCTCCTCACCATGTGGTTGGGACATGTCCACCGGTTTTCTACCCGAAAGAAGCTCAAGTAGCACAACTCCATAACTGTAAACATCGCTTTTGACGAGCAGGTGTCCTGTCATTGCATATTCAGGGGCGACGTACCTGCAAATTTTTGGCTCAGTCAAGAACAAAAGATGATAACTGATGTCCACAAATAGTCATGTGATATACTATTATGGATTACGAAACAGATCGATGCAATAAGAAACATAGATATAACCAACACCGAAATTACCCGAAAGTTCCCATCACGCGTGTTGAGATATGTTCACTTCCTTCAGTTGCTTCCCTAGCCAACCCAAAATCTGAAACCTTGGGGGTGAAATCTACTTCCAACAGAACGTTACTTGCCTTGAAATCACGGTGAATTACACGGGGGTTCGAATCTTCGTGAAGATATGCCAAACCTCTTGCAGCTCCAAGAGCAATCTTTAATCGTGCATCCCAGTCAAGAGGTCCTTTTCTCTTATCAATGCCTACATAAAATAAAAATAAGTGTAATTAGATTGGCACAAACAATGAAAAGTTGAACTTTTATCAATCAATAAATGTATAGAGCACTACAAAATAATCAGTGAAGAAAAAGATGGAAGAAACTTATGGGACTAAATAAATGGAAATGTACCAACATATATCTAACAAGAGAAACCTAAAGAGCTCTTTCTTCTTCCTCTTCTTCTTTTGGTCAATGCTGAAATACAGGTGGAAGAGCCATCGGTTTGGTTTTTTCGTAAGAAAAAAACAAAGGTTAGGAATCACGACACTCCATGATGGTATGATATTTTCCATTTTGAGCACAAGCTTTCGTGGCTTTGCTTTTGATTTCCCCAAAAGGCCTCGTACCAATGAAGATGTATTCCTTACTTATAACCATAATTAGCCAACGTGGGACTCCCTCCCAACAATCCTCAACAATCCTCCCCTCGAACAAAGTACACCATAGAGCCTCCCCCGATGTCTATGTAGCCCTTGAACAGCCTCCCCTTAATCGAGCTCGACTCCTTTCTATGGAGCCCTCGAACAAAGTACACCCTTTGTTCGACACTTGAGGATTATATTGACATGTCCGTTAAGGACATGGCTCTGATACCATGTTAGGAATCATGTCTCTCCACAATGGTATGATATTGTCTACTTTCAGCACAAGCTCTCATGGCTATGCTTTTGGTTTCCCCAAAAGGCCTCATACCAATGGAAATGTATTCCTTACTTATAAACTCATGATCATCCTCTAAATTAGCCAACATGGGACTCCCTCCCAACAATCCTCGAACAAAGAACGGTTAGTTCAGGCTTTATCTCTAAAAGGATATGGGAATTCTAGTTTCTGTTACCAAAAGATCGCTAGAATTCTTTGGCCTCATACCCTACAAGAGCATTGGTATGGCCCCCTGGAAGGAAATAAAGGATGGAATACTCATGAATATGATTTCATTAATCCTGTGGCATTGTACCATTTACGGCCCCAAATTGAAGATCTTTGGTTTGATACGTCACTCCTGGCATAGGGATGCCTAGTTATTTTGGTATTGGTTGGTTAAAGAAAATTTTAACGTTTCCTATGAACAAACCAGTCCCTTTTCTTCACCTCTCTGGCTTTGAGAAATCCTTCATCTATCAATACTTTCTGATACAGAATTATGAAAGAAAACATAAGGCCGATTAACTTTTTTAAACAGAACAAATTAAAATGCACCAATATATATCCAACAGAACAGAAGATACATGGAGAAGTCCCTAGGCATAAAAGGCAGAGGAGTCTTTAATTTGATGATCTACACGATCAAATTTCATTGCACTGATGAACAAGGAAATATGTGAATGAAACATTTTTGTTCTAAGATTGAATGAATGAGAAAAGTTTTACTAAAGACGATCAAACAAATCATGTACAGAAACTGGAGACATCCAACAACAGTACATATAAGAAAGGTTAACAAACACTTAATACGATTAATCATAGGTGATATGGAAAATATACCGTGCAAGTGAGACTCAACACTGCCATTATGGATAAGCTCATAAACCAAGCAGCGAGTTCGGCCTTCCATGCATATACCAATCAGTTTCACAAGATTCCGATGATGCAGTCTACTCAACATCTCAACTTCTGCAATAAATTCACGGTCTCTATTCTGATTATCCCGTGTAAGCAACTTAACTGCAACTTCATTTCCATCTTGCAAAATACCACAGTAAACTCGGCCAAATCCCCCTTCACCTAAAATCCTTTTCGAACTAAACTTGTTTGTTGCTTTCTCAAGTTCAGAAAGTCCAAATGTTCTAACAGATTGAATACTGGTTGGCATTGTGGAAATTAGGGAAACAGAGGTGGAGCTAGCAATGCTAGTTGATAAACCCGATCCTAGACCTGTATTAATTCAGAATGAAGTCATCTTAAGCAGTGCAAGTAAAATCAACAGGACTTTCCAAATAGATCATGGAAAGTTCGTACTCAAGTAGTACTTGTGGAAAGATCCTTGTGATAGCTAATAGATCAGGATCTACAAACTCACCAGATCTTTTGTTAATTGATGATGTGAAGACAGGGCCAACAGCACTAGACGGTCTGCCAACTTTTCTCCATTTAAAAAAGATGGAAAGAGCTCCAATGAATACTAATAACACAACAAATGCTGAAAGTGATATGATACCAATTGTTTTGATGCTCATCTTCTGGCTCTTATTAACGAAATTTGCAGTAATGGGAAGATCACCAGCACCTCCACTAGGAGCACTTCCCATGTACCCTCCATATGGTGGTGAAGAAGGAATCCCTGGTAATCATGGCTTATTATTCTCAATATTTACGATAGGGGGAGGGGTGGTGTAACAAACGCAGAGAAAAACTGTTGAAGCTATTACCTGGATAGCTGATGTAGACAACTTCATAATCACCAAAAAGCGTCATATTTAGACGCACTTTTTTATCCCAAAACCTTCTGTAAGTCAGTACTGCAGTGGTATTATCGAATTTCTCTCCTAGAGGTACTAAATTTATATCCACCATAGTTCTTCCTTGATTTTGACTGTCTGCTTTAGCACCCATGATTTTCACTTGGCTCTGCTCCAAGTAAGTCCCCGCTGCAATCTCACTTTCAAGGTCGTTCATCACAGGAAAGACAGCATATGGAGCTATATCCAGAAGAAGTCTGACTTTCATGGGAAACACGCAGCCACAAGGTGAACCAAAGGGAGCCGCAGTAAGGGGTTCCATGCATATTTGATCACAACCTTCCAAGTCCAAGGTAAAGTATTTAGTACAATGAATTTCATAAAAGAAAATTTACAACTTGAAGACTAATCATTGGTCTAGGCAATGAAAGATGAAAATTTGCAAAGCTCCTTTGATAAGGAGGGCACAAAGTTCTTTATGGATCACCATGACCTAGCAAAACCAAAGGCCCCACGTACCAATCACAACATCAAATGTTACAAAGTCATTCAAACGTAGCATGAGATTGAATTAAAACAATTTGGCTCACAACAACCGAAATCTAGCTCTGAAGTAACTCATATTCAAGCAAATGCTTAATAAACAGTAATGGTGTTAGGAATCACGGATCTCCACAATGGTATGATATTGTCCACTTTGAGCATAAGCTCTCGTGGCTTTGCTTTGGGCTTTCCCAAAAGGCCTCATACCAATGGAGATGTATTCCTTACTTTATAAGCCCATGATCAACCCCTTTGGGACTCCTCTCCCAACAATCCTCAACAAATGGCTCTATAAACCTGTTTTTTTAGCAAGAAATGGGTTGGACGAACCCATTAATCAAGCACAAGGAGCAAGAATTTCAGCAGCCTAGAAGCAATTACGTGGATCAGATGCTTAGAATCAAAGAACCGTAATTTGGCAATCATGTACTTTGAGGTTATACAGGTTTTCCTGTCTTTATGAATAATTGACTGCTGAGTAATTCAGTCCCTGACTTTACCTTGGTCTTTTGATGGTGTAGGAGCAATCACATGAGGCCGTATACGCCGCCGCCGCCGCCGATGATGTCGAATAGGTAAGGGTGCACTCCTAGGACCTACAAAAGTGTAATGTCAGGAAGTAATAGCAACACAGAGGACAGTGAAGAATTTATTACATTCCCTTCATAACCTGGAGAAGGTGCAGGAGCAGTGGATGGTCCCAAAGATGACTTAAAGATCCAGTTAGCATGTAACTTTGAAGGCTTAAATGAAAAACTCATCGACTCCAACCTTGCTGCAATGATGGAGATACATGCATGCCATGGAAAAAGGGATAAATATGAATAGTTGAACAATTAGAAGGAGACTAAAAAGGAATGACCATCATAAAGTTTTCACTATTTCACTTTTCTTTTTCTACTAATTGTGTTCCCAGAAATAATAGATACTTTGAATTTGAGAACAATTCCGACCAAGCAAAAATCAAGCATTCAAAAAGAACGACCAAATGATAAGGTAAAGCATGCTCACTGCCTCACTTGAACTCCAAGTTGCCAGGTCATATTTTATAATTTTCTTGTTATCAATCCAAAGTTAATTGATGATTTATTCAATTACAATCCGAACTCCAAACGAAATGTTAATGCTACCAATCGCATTAATTGAATTTGTTTAACATGTTCCTCTTCAAGTTGTTGAAAACCAACTCAAGACGCAGGAAACTGAAGCTGAAAACAGAAGTATTTAGATTTGTTGAGAGAGTTAGTAAGATTAACTCCTCCACATAACCACAAGACATACTACAGTCTAATCATTGACGTGAAAGATATAGCCAGTTTCCAACAAAAGTTCCTTCGATTAAATATACATCATAATCAAAATTGACAGAATGCGAAGATTTGCCAACCTAGTGAGTTTGGACAACTGATGGGTATGGTTAGTTCAAACACAAGCTACAAATTGTGCCTCATCGATTTCTGTAAGAGCCACGACTTTACATTCGAACAAATTTTGGACACTTATCATGTGTTTATAGTACCAAACTCCGAATATGCATAGATATTTATCAAACAAGACATGTTGATACTAAATGGAAATCGCTGTACCATGCTCTGTTGGAATTTCTGTGGTCGTTGTTTGCAGGTATGGCTGCAAGGAAGGAGATAAGTATATGTGTGGTGAAGATTGTCCTGAAACCATAGACAATAGGTAACTTAACTCTCAGAAGTTCTACAACATAATGGCCATGACAATTCAGATGATAATTATAATACAGCTCAACAATGAGAGATTTAAATGTTATATTCAGCAAAATATATCACAAATCATAAGCAAATTGAGCGTCATTCTTACTGTTGGAAGAAAGATATAGCGAAAATGAACTGTTTCTCGCTGAGAGTTTAACAAAGAAACTTCCTCAGTGGCCTAATTGTTCGCTCAACGAATTATTCCTTTACACAGAAACAGAATCTAACAATAAAAAAAGCCAAAAGTAGCAAAGCAACCAAAAATGAGATCACGTACATTCCTCGACAAAATCAAGTCAAAAAGGTAAATGCAAAGTACCTGAGCAAGAGAAAAGCAAATCAACCGCATGAAGAACCAGAAGAAAGCGCATAATCGAGAAACGCATATTGTGTCCAGAAAGCAAATTTCAGAGGAAAGAATCATCATCAGTAGCCACCGCCACCTACAAGCTCAACCACCTCAACAAAAATCTGCCAAAGAAAACATACACAAGCATAACAGCGAAGTACTCGCCGGCAACAATCTTCCCCTACACAATGCGAGCTCCAAATCCCCCACCACATGGCTCAACAACAACCAAAAAAGAAACTCCCCCTCAGAGGATAACGAAAAACCCTAGGAGAGAGAAATCAAAACAGCACAAACGGAAGGCAGCAATGCAGGTATATTGGCTTGCAGATCCATGAAATGCGGTCGAGGATCTAGAAGAAAGACTATAAAAACTTCAGTTCACGAGGAGAAAAAAGAGTGAAGAACTTTTAGAGATGGAAAGAATGGAGGAAAAGGGAGAGCGAGATCTTGAAAAAGTGAAGAGAGAGAGAGAGAGGGAGAGAGTTCAAACCAGAGGAGAGAGAGAGAGAGAGACGATGAGGAGCTAGGTGAGGGACTTTATTACATGGCAACAAACAACACTCTACTGTTACGGACTGCTACTAAGCCACTGCTTTTTCTCTTTTTGCAAAAAGACGATCCAATGGATGGCTCTGGTCCACGCGCTGTTGGATGAAACGACAATTTACAGACTCGTTTGACTACGTCATTATTTCTTTTTCCTTTTTTTTTCTTTTTTTTTTTTTTTTTTTTTTTTTTAAAAAAA